ATACCGAGAACTATTAGTAGCTAGTGTAGGGTCATCCCTCACTTCGGGTTCGAAGTGTCCAGTATTATCTCGATTAGACCAAAGCGTTTCAGGAGCGTTGCGTGGAGGTTGGTGGACAGGTCCATGGAGTAGCCTCCACCATCATTAGGGTTTGGTGGTTCTAGTCTTGGTACTTGGGATAGCTTTTGGAAGCATCAAGGGAAGTGGTCTATCACTGATGGGGTTTGCTCTGAGATTAGTTATTCGGACCTTAAGGGCATATTGGAGCTCAGGGGATTATCAGTATCGGGGATGCAGGAGGTGTTCATCTAGTATTCGGTAATTGTACGGTATTGGGAGCGGACTAGTGATGGATCGCTAGCGGCATCAAGGCGATGGTAGTTATCATGCCTTTTGTGCAAGGGAGGAAGGAATGGAAATCCTCGGGTTTTCGCAGGCAGGAAAACTTAGCTGAAGCTAGTGGGGGAGAACAATCATGTTATGGGAGCAGAAGCGGTTTTGAAAACTAGGATAAGTTCGCTCTCCTGTCAGGAAGAAGACGGCCCAGGTGGCTGTATGAATTGAGGACAGTGTGAATTGGGAGTTTGGGAAAACTTGCCAATTGTGAGACCTCATTCTCGAGATGTCTGGTAGCAGATTGCAGAGGAATCGGTTGGGAGTCCAGTTGGGACATGAGTACCACTTGGGGGTACTAGATTGTGCTTGTATGCTCGACTATGGGTTAGTCGTAGCATCCACTAGCAGCCAGTCGGTGTGGAAAGTGTTGTCAGACTACCGGATGGCCGTAGCATTCACCAGTGGTCAGATAGTAAGAAGAGTGTGGTAAGACTGCGGGCGGTCCGTAGCAATGGTTAGCAGATAGCGTCGAAGTGTGGTGCGACTGCGGGTGGCCCGTAGCAATCGTATTGAGGATAGTTAGACTGCGGTGTGGGCCCGTAGCATTAGTTTAGTAAGACTGCGGTGTGGCCCGTAGCAATCGTATGTGAGGATAGTTAGACTGCGGTGTGGCCCGTAGCATTAGTTTAGTAAGACTGCGGTGTGGCCCGTAGCATTAGTTTAGTAAGACTGCGGTGTGGCCCGTAGCAATCGTATGTGAGTATAGTTAGGCTGCGGTGTGGCCTGTAGCACTGGTTTAGCAAGACTGCGGGGTGGCCCGTAGCTTTAGTTGGCTGGCAGCGCAGAAGTGTTGTAAGACTATGTGGGTGTCGTAGCATTCACTGGTTGACAGAGCGAGTATAGTAAGACTACGAGGTGGCCCGTAGCATTCGTCGGTCCCTATTCGCTAGTGCGAATGTATCAGGTGTGTGATTCAGTGGCAGGATTTTTCAAATAGTTAAGTTCAGGACGGGGCAGCCGCCCGGATGTGAGTGGGCCACATTATGATTGGGCCCGGAAGGCGGTAGGTCAATGGAGACCAAGAGTGGCGTAAGACTGCGGGTAAGCCGTGACATTCATTAGTAGCTTAGTTCGCGGAGTGTGGGCGGGGGCCCGTATCTCCGAGGTGGCATGGGGGAAATCGGTATTCCGGGTAATAGTAGATCAGTTGGGACCAGGGCGGTCTCGGTTCATCCGTTAGGCGGATGGGAGTCAACAGGACTACAGGCAGGAATGATGGTAAGGGATTCGGTGTGAAAAGCCGTGAGTTGATCGGATGATGCTAAGCTGCTCATTGCGGGATCGAATGATCTCAGAGTAAAGGATTTGGCTCGGTGACGCCGTTCTCGTATGAGCCTTAAACGTAGTAGAGAGGGATCTGCAACCCGCAGGATTGTCTGAATTCTCACGATTGGGTGGAGCTTTCAGTATTGGAGCATTGTATGGGGGTTATTCCGTGAGTATTGGTATGATGGCCTACACTGGGAGTGGCCGGGATTGCGGTTTCAGCAGAGGATCGGTCCTCGAAGGAAATTGGGAAGGTTGTTGCTTGTGGAAAGTGCCTTAGAAAGGCCAGTGACAGTGTAGGGTAAAAGGGTAGACCCCTTGCGAATCAAGGGTAAGTGTATCAGGAGTATCGGTATGATTACCGGCTGGATAAAAGTGTTGTACTCGAAGGTAGTAAGTAACGGGTTATTCTGAAGATGACATCTTCAAGGTTTGGATCGGATGGACGGAGTGTGTACCTTGTGGTAAAGTGGCGACCAGATGGTAAGGTAGTTGGCCGTGGCAGACTTCGAGGACGAAGTCTAGTTTAAGTGGGGGAGTGTTGTAACACCCAAAATCAGAAAGACTAAGAAAAGAAAGGAAAGGCTCTAAGTCAAGAGTCAACTCGTCGAGTCCAGGGAGGAACTCGACGAGTCGGAGCGGGATCCGGGGCATAGAGTAAGTGACCGACTCGGCGAGTCGGCTAGTGGACTCGGCGAGTTTGGTCTGGACGAGAAAAACCCTAATCCCGGGGGTTGTGCCCTATTTAAAGAACATTACATCCCTTCCCCAGCCTCTTTACTCCCCTTTTGAGATCCAGAAACCCTAAAACGTGAGTGAGAGTCCTTGGAAGCAATTTGGAGCTTAGATAAGTGGATTTGTGAGGAGATCTTGAAGATCAAGACGCTTGGATCAAGGGGGTTTGCAGAGATTTGGATTAATCTTCAGTGAGAGGTCATCTTGGAGGTAATAAGCTGCTACCTTCACCCTTTTTGCATCTAGATCTATTCTTGAATGAGATTGGGGCTATTTTGGGCAAGATTGAGGTCTATTTAGGGTTTGGGGCTTAGATCTGAGGTTGCTACCTCAGATCTAGACTTGTGATGGTCCAGGAGGTCTTAAAGTTCATGCCAATAAGTTGTTGGTGAAGCCCCTTTGTCTTAAACCCTATCCCTAGAGTGTTTTGGGCCTTTAGCTCCTTGGTTTCACGTAAAGTTTGCAACTTTACATGGGGGATAGACTGTAGAAGAGTGGATCTATGGATTGGAGCCCCTGCATGGCCCGAAAAGCCACTGTATGGTTTGAGAACTGGAGAGACTCGGCGAGTCACATGGGTGTACTCGACGAGTTGTATGAATATGTGCATGGGATCGGCGAGTTGGAAGAACAACTCGGCGAGTCTGTTGAAGATTGCCTAGGACTCGGCTAGTCTGTCCTTGGACTCGACGAGTCTGGTCGCAAAACCCAACCTCTTCTGGTTAAGACGCAGATCAGTGAGTTGAGTGGTGACTCAGTGAGTTAGACAGGATGGGACTCAGAGATCGTTGAACTCGACGAGTCCTGGGGCGACTCGGCGAGTTGGGTTGTATTTTGAGAGCTTCTGAGTTTAAGGACTCGGCGAGTCTTCGGGTTGACTCGGCGAGTCGAGTCAACTGGAAGGTTGACTTTGACCAGGACTTTGACTTTAACCAGAGTTGACTTAGTTTAACTTCTAGAGTTCAGTTTGGAACTAAGTGTTTTATTGATATTAGTAGCTCGGGGAGCTAGTGGAGCAGCGGTTCAGAAAGTGGTCGGACAGCAGCCAGAGGGTTATCAACAAAGTTCAGCAGTGCGAGGTGAGTCTCCTCACTGTTTGTATGGGTCTACGGCCACAATGCCGACCCATTTAGTTTATGTATGGTAGGAAGTCCCGGGGGTTAGCCCTAGGCATTATGCATGAAAGATCAGGAGGAGGCTCCTGGCACACAGTATGTTATTATGTATGGTAGGAAGTCCCGGGGGTTAGCCCTAGGCATTATGCATGAAAGACCAGGAGGAGGCTCCTGGCACACAGTATGTTATTATGTATGATAGGAAGACCCGGGGGTTAGCCCTAGGCAATATGTATGAAAGACCAGGAGGTGGCTTCTGGCGCACTGTATGCTATTATGTATGAAAGACCAGGGGGTGGCTCCTGGCACACTATATGCGGAGTGGCCTAGTAGAGTAGTCTGTATAGTTGTCTTTGTGATACTTGCATGAAAGACCAGGGGGTGACCCTTGGCACTTGTCTGTAAGACCCAGGGAATGGCCCCAGGCTTGACCAGGAAGACCACGTGCGGCCCGTGGCATAACCGCAAGACTATGTTTGGTACATAGCACCTTAGCAAGACTATGTTTGGCACATAGCACCTTACTTGATTGTGGATATGTTGGTTATGTATGGCTCTTGGCTATGTATGGCATGTATGGATCAGTTGGTTTGTATGGTATGTGGTATCTGGGGAACTCACTAAGCTTCGTGCTTACGGTTTTCAATTTTGGTTTCAGGTACTTTGTTTTCAAGGAAAGGAGCCGGCTCGATCGCAGCGCATCACACTATGTTTTCCGCACATGAGATCTTTGGGATCACACTCTGATATGGTTTTATGATAATATGTTTGATTTCTGACACTTTGGCTTAACACGAGATATTATTATGAATGTTTTTATACTGATGGGTTATATAATAACTTATTTAAAAATAAAATTTTCGGCCTTGAATTTTGGGATGTTACACATTTTAAAGTTGTTTTCTTAATAAAAAAAATATGGTTATAATATAACTAATACATATTTATACATAACATTATGGTTTGTATGTAAAAATCCTTGTATTTATACAAAAAATATGATTTTTAAATTAAAAAAAATGTATTTATACGGTTCCAAATGTAAAATATATATATATATATATATATATATATATATATATATAATATATATATATAGTTTCAAATGGAAAAATAATCAACATTGAACAAAATTGGAAAAAATAATTTTCGATTTAGAACAAAAAAAATAAAATGTTAAATTTGAAAAAAAAATTAAAATTTAATGTCAAAATTGAAAAAATGAAAACACGTTTTTATGTATTTATTTTTTTTCAATTTTAACATGTCCCGTCATCTAAATTTAGTCATCTAAATTGAGATGTCATTGTGTCATATTAACACCCAACCAACCAAATTGGAGAGTTCAAGTGACATAATTGTAAAAAAAAAATAATAATAACAAATGTGAAAATCAAATTTTCATATATACTTAGCTGACTTTTTTTTTTTTTTTTGGTATTTTGCTAGTAAAGTACTAGTTCTTAAAATTAACACTGCATTTTATCTCGACATGGAACTACTTCAATGAGTATTTTGTCTTCGCATGGAGGAAATACTTGGCAGTTGGGAGCAGATGGAATATAGTGAGTGATGCTGACGATGCTGCAATATCTGATCAACGTTCCATTTTCAGTTCCACCTTCTTCTTCTTCTTCGTCCTTCTTTATCACCGTAAGTTGCCTCTACCTCTATCCGCTTCACCATGTGTGTTTCCCCCCATTATTTATGTTTTTATGTGTCACTAGATTTACTCAATTCTTTCAATCCAGACGAATGTGTGGTCTGATTGAAGTTCCATGTATATGTTTGATCCATTCTGTGGAATTCGTGCTTGCTTTTGCAATCCATCTGAAAAAATCAATTTCCTCTCTCTCTTTCTGATTCTTTTTAATGGAGTCCCATATTAAATTCATCTAACTAGTGTTTTACTTCTTCGAGTGAAGTAAAGAGTCTTAGCGTTGACTTCAGAATTTACATAAGTATTAATAACAGATGACCGTTAATCGTCCATATGCACGAGTGTAAATTTTCTTTCTTCCGAATTGGTTCACTTGTGTTTGACTGGATGATTCTGTTCTTGCTTACAATTTCTTTCCTTTAAGTTAGGGTTTTTTGTTTAATCAACCTTGTTAATTTATCCTTTGCTTTTGGTCTGAAAACTTCGTCTTCTCCTTATCGTTTTCATCTGTTTAGTGTTCTGAGTAAATGGATGGCTCCGAAGTTGGTGAAGTGAAGGAAGTTGCAGTCAATCTAGATGCCTTCACCGAGGGAGAATACGCTTCTCAATCCAAAATATACAAAGAATTCGCAACCTTGTCTACCATTGACAAAGCATGGACCTTCAAGTCTTCCAATGGTATACAAAATGCTAGTTATTATACGATAAAGTCAAAAGAGACTTCAATTTTACTTCTTATCGACTCAGTGCCTAAAATATTCTGCAGGTTTGGGGACTCAAATTATGTTTTCACTTAGCCAACCAAATCTTTTATCAAACAAGAAGAGGAAACTTATGTTATCAAGTTTCATCTCTGAAGATTCTAATGGCACTTTAAATGTTCAATGGTCACCATTTCCAATTGAAATCACAGGTGCCTCTGTAATGGTTCCCTCTCCATCAGGGAAAAAGCTTCTTGTGATACGAAACCCTGAAAATGATTCACCCTCTCAGTTTGAAATTTGGGGCCCACTGCAATTAGAGAAGGAGATTCGTGTTCCTCAATCTGTTCATGGTTCTGTGTATGTGGATGGATGGTAATTTTTTCTGCAACAATCTTTCAAAGTTGAAAAAAAGTATAGATTATAGAATCATACCTTCTGATGAATCAGGTTTGAGGGAATTTCATGGAGCCCAGATGAAAGTCTCATTGCTTATGTGGCAGAGGAATCGGGTTTCCACAAACCAACATTTAACAATACGGGTTACAAAACGGATGCGGGTCCCACTCATAAAGATTATAATAGCTGGAAAGGTCAAGGGGATTGGGAAGAAGACTGGGGTGAAGCCTATTCTGGAAAAAAACATCCTGCTTTGTTTGTGATTAATATTAACAGGTTGGACAATTTCCTATTTTTTCCATTGACATTCTATATTGAACAATTACATTGCATAAAAAGTTATTAACTTTTGCCATGTCATCATAGTCCAAATCATCATGTTACTAATAGGTAAACTCTTTAAAGTACAATGCCCTAATAAGGAAAAAAAAAGGAAGTATACAACTATACATTGCTATTTCCTACATTTTCCCCTAAAATTTATCATCTTTGTTCTTTTTTGGTTTGTTATTACAGTGGAGAGGTTTGTGCTGTAGACATTGGGAGTTCATTAAGTGTAGGACAAGTTGTGTGGGGCCCACCAACAAAAGGGTCCCATCAGTATCTGGTTTTTGTCGGGTGGCCTTTAAGCAGTAGAAAATTTGGAATGAAGTATTGCACTAATAGACCTTGTGCCTTATATGCTATAAAGGCTCCATTATTTGGATTAAAAATCAAAGAGAATGCTACAAATAATGTATCATTGGTTAATTTGAGTCAAGCCACAAGTAGTGCTTTTCTTCCAAGATTCACGTAAGTGTGTGTGTGTGTGTGTATGATCCGTTTGATTTGAAAATTTACATAATTGGACCAATAACTTTACATTTTTCACTTTTCAGTCCAGATGGAAAGTTTCTTGTGTTTTTATCTGCTAAAAGTGCTGTAGATTCTGGAGCACATAATGCTACAAACTCTCTTCATAAAATTGAATGGAATAGTGAAGGAGAACCACATCCTGCTAAGATCATTGATGTGGTGATTTGAGAACAAAATGATTTATTGATCTTGAAACATAAATTTTATAAATTTCAAACTTACAAAGTACAAACATTCGATTTTTTTAGGTTCCTGTTGTGATGTGTCATGAGGATGATTGTTTTCCTGGGATCTACTGTTTTGATATGATTAGTAAACCATGGCTTTCAGATGGATTTACAATGATATTTTCTTCCATTTGGGGAAGCACTGAAGTCATACTTTCTGTAAATATGCTAAGGTATATTAAATATAATATAATCAATGGGCAAATTTTTTTCCAATTGCATTATAGATTCTCTAATTGGGATTTCATTCCTTTATTTTCAGTGGGAAAGTTTCAAGAATCACTCCTAGTGATTCAAATCATTCATGGAGTTTACTTACACTTGATGGAAACAACATCCTTGCTTGTAATATATATATATATAATATATATATATATATATATATATATATATAAACCTAATCTTTTATATTGTTCCATTGAGAATTTTATACATTACATGATAATTCATGAATTATCATGTTTTCTTTTTGAAGTATGTAGCAGCCCTATAGATGTACCTCAGATCAAATATGGTAGTCTAACTAAAGACGAATCAAAAGATGCCACCTGGCATTGGAGGGATGTTTCAAGCCCAATATCTGAATGTCAAGAGAAAGTATGTTCATGTTCATGTTCATCTTATGTCCTTTATGAAGTTCTTTTGGAAATTGAATACAACAAGACGTATTTCTACCTATTAATATTTAAAAAAAAATATGTTTTTTTGTATGATATAAACAGGTCAAATCTTTACTTTCATCCCTTCAATTTGACATATTGAAGATACCCATCAAGAATGTCTCCAACAATCTAACTAAAGGTATTCTAGTAAGGTGTTGTTTCTTTTTTGACATAATAAAAAAAAAATGAAAGGAGGCTTTCACATAACTCTTTGACTGTTTACAAATTAGTCCCCATTTACTTTTTCATAAATATTCTATAAAATGAAACTTGAGAAACAGTCTTGTTTGATTTGCATTAAATCTAATTACACATTATAACTTAATCTAATTTAGGAGCATGCAAACCTTTTGATGCTATATTTGTGTCCTCAAAATTAAAGCATGATCATACGTGTGATCCATTAACTGTAATCCTTCATGGGGGCCCACAAGATGTTTCATTAACAAGTTTCTCAAAGTCATCTGCTTTTCTTGCTTCAATTGGCTTTAGCTTGTTAATTGTGAATTACAGGCAAGTTGATTTTATTTCTTGCATTCAATCTTTAACAAAATCATGCTATTTTTTTAATTTAATTTTATTTCTTGAGTCCTTTACTTTTTGTTGGAAGCATTTCCTTAAACTTTTATCAATGTTTTTATAGAGGTTCACTTGGATTTGGTGAGGAAGCATTGCAATCACTTCCAGGAAAAGTCGGATCACAGGTGCCTTTTCTTTACATATACATAAAGATTTCAACATCATTTTAGTAAAGGGCAAATTGGTCAATTCATATATAACTTCTTTTTAGATATGTTCCAAAAAGAAGTTTGTTGCATTTTTCATCCCCATTTCACTGGTTCCTAACGTTTTTATTTGGCATCTAATTTAGCAACCCATTTGTTAACTTTTTGAAAATGACCATTTTGCCCTTAAAATATTTGTTTTGTTTGAAGGATGTAAACGATGTCCTTGTAGCTATAGATCATGTGATTGATATGAGGCTTGCAAATCCATTGAAAATAAGTGTGGTTGGTTTGTCACATGGTGGTTTCTTAGCTTCACACTTGATTGGACAGGTATTAAAGTGGGCCCTTCTTCTATATATTGATTTGTTTATTATAAATTCAACATTGTATTTTAAAAATTCAACCCAATTATAGGGGTTAATTAATCTCATAAATGACCTTATATTTTGTGTTTTTTCCAGATGAATTTTTTTTTCCTGAAACAGACCTTGCATTTTTTCATTTTTTTCGATCTGACCCTTTTAGTCATTTTTTTTTTCCCGAAAAAAAGTTGTAAAATGTGAGGATTGATTTGGAAACATTTAGAAGGTTGAGTGCTTTTACGGAAAAAGGGTTAATCTCAAATTTATTTTTTGCCTGAAAAAGACCTTGTATTTTTTCATTTTTTCCGAAAAAGCCCTCAACTTTGTATTTTTTTTTTTTCTGAAAAAAACCCTCAACCTTCTAAATGCTTCCAAATAAACCCTCAAATTTTTTATTATTTCTCGAAAAAACCCTCACATTTTATAATTATTTTGGCAAAAAATGACTAAAAGGGCCAAATCGGAAACAATGAAAAAAATACATGGTCTTTTTCAGGAAAAAAATAAATTTGAGGTTTAATTCGTAAAAAACACAATATAAGGTCTTTTTTGAGATTAGCCCAAAAAAAAGGACAAACTTGAGGGTTTTTTCAGAGAAAATGAAAAAAATACAAGGTCCTTTTCAGGAAAAAAATAAAAATAAAGATGATGTTTAATCCAAAAAAAAAATACACAAAATATAAGGTCTTTTTATGATATTAACCCATTAATTAGCATTGTCATCCAGATACAAAGCAAATTTCATTTCTTTAATTGGGTAGATTTTTCAAAGTACATTGCCATTATAAGAAATAAAAAAAAATTGAAAGTACAACTACAAAGCTATGATTAGGTAGTTTTTACAAAGTATAATTCTTTAAAAGAAAAAGATTGTTGTAATAGTAAAAATGAAAGTAAGATACTGTAATAAAAAGTAAATGAAAGTACATTGCTATTAATTATTATACAGGCACCCGATAAATTTGTTGCAGCTTGTGTGAGGAACCCTGTGTGTAATCTTGCTTTAATGGTGGAAACATCAGATATTCCAGATTGGTGTTTTGTGGAAGCATTTGGAAATGAGGGGCTTTCTTTATATACTGAATCCCCTTCATCTGAACTCCTTTCATTTTTTCATCAAAAGTCTCCTATTTCCCATGTGTCAAAGGTATAACGCATTTACATATTATATTACAACATTGTAAATTGATAAATCTATCAAATTGTAGCAATGTCATCTAAACACAATGCTATAATGCTTATAATTTCTCTTAAGTAAAAAACCTTTAATAAAAAACAAGTAAATGAAAGTACATTGCTATTTCTTGCATTTAGCCTTAAAAAAACAAGAGTAAATTACATGAATGGTCCCTATGGTTTGGGGTAATTTGCACGAATGGTCCCTAACTTATTTTTTTAACTCCTACTGTTTGTTTTTGTTGCGCGCTTGGTCCTTTGTCTTACCTAAAAAGACTATTTTACCCTTGATTTTTTTAATTTATTTAAATAAACACACCCCAACCCCACTTCCACTTCCACTTCCACTTCCACTTCCACCTGACCTTACCTTATCTTACCTACTCATGTTATTTAAATAAATTAAAAAATCAAGGGAAAAATAGTCTTTTTAGGTAAGACAAAGGACCAAACGCGCAACAAAAACAAACAGTAGGAGTTAAAAAAATAAGTTAGGGACCATTCGTGTAATTTGCTCAAAAAACAACTCAACTTATGGGTCTTTATAGTGGGAGAAAAACAGGCAAAAGTATACTATTAAAATAATAATATATTTTTTCTTGTAAGCATTTGAAATAGTTATTGATAAAGTTTATGAGAAAATAACGAATTAGGCTAATCCCATTTACGACTTTCCAAGATTTAATACAAAATTAGATATTTAGGTTTAAATGGGAATAACCTTATTTGTCTTTTTCTCTATGTTTATTGGTTTTATTTGATTTAAATGAGAATAACCTTATTTGTCTTTTTCTCTATGTTTATTTGATTTAATGTGCTTTTTTTTTCAAGGTGAAAACTCCTACACTATTCCTCTTAAGTGCTAAAGATATCCGTGTTCCAGTTACAAATGGATTGCAAGTGAGTATTATTGATCTTCATTTTATAAAATAGGGTTAAATTGCAAGAAATGACAACGTACTTTTATTATTTGTTTGAAATAGCATTGTACTTTAAAAGTGTTTTTTCATTTCATTTTGTGGGTCCCATGGATACTAATTTGAAATGTTTAAATATGATATGCAAAGTTTGCAAGGGCATTAAAGGAAAAAGGAGTTCCATTGAAAGTGATTGTTTTTCCTCAAGATATACATCCTATTAATAGGTGAACATTTCCTCAACTCTTCTATACTGAGATGCAAGAAATAGCAATGTACTTTGAAAAATCTTGTATTTATTTTGTAAAACATTAAATATCTTCCTTCATTAAATAATAACATGATTAAAAAAATATTTGTCTTTATGACATGTTTTTTCAACCACTCATTCTAATATTAAAATATCAGTGATTGATTATGTTTTTTTTTTTTTTGGTTGCAGACCACAATCTGATTTTGAAAGCTTTGTTAACATTGGAGTTTGGTTCAAGAAGTATTGCAGGTAACATGTTGTTTCTTCATCTTAGATTTTATATAAATGACACTGATTACAGCACTTTTATATAGTTCAGGGGCCTGTGTGACACTTTTAGAAAAGTTGGGTTACTTAATTAACATTATCCATTTTTTAATCATTCTTACCAACTATAGAATATGGTGTTATTTTTTATTTGTTTGAAAGTATGATGATTGGTTGAAATAAACAATAACAGTGCGATCCTTGTGTTAAACAGATTTATATATAAATAAAATGAACTTGGGTTCTAATAATACTATGCTAAATTTGTCAAAGGGACTAAAAGTGAAAAAATCACCAAACACCGAGAATGTGTAGCTGAGCTAAGTTGCAACCCTTATTTGCAAAGTAAGAAATAAGGAAGGGTAGAAGAGCAAATAAATGAGATTTTGGGCACCAAAAATACAAAGAAGAAAGGGTAGCAGAGCAATTTCTAAAAAAAATATCATAGTAATAAATGTTGTAAAACTTAAGTTGAACATTTATCTTATATTTAATAAACCTTTGTTGTGAGTTTAAGTTTGTAATAACTACAATGGTAATATGTAGATTTGTATCAATATATTGTTTAAATCTGTTGTTTTTATATTTGTTAATAGAGTAGTCCATAGTGGATTTTTAGATCTATGTTTAATTAACATGGCAACTCTTTACATCTTATATAGGTTGACGTTGAAAGGGAAAATGTTATATTAGCCCAATGAACTTGTCATGTTTGGTTTAAAAGGTCATTAATTTATTTTTTTGTTCCAAAAAGGTAATGAAGTCTTGTATGACCGTTTTAAAATGTCATTTAACCCTTTACATTAGGTTTTACTGACACGAATGAAAAATCTCGATGATGTGGACTTACACGCAGGATACATTAAAGCCGACATGGACCATTATGTGGCATGAATAGTACAACCCTTGAGGATCAAGGGTTCTTAGGTGGCTTGCGGTCCTCTATATATAATCGTATTCCTCTTTTAGGTTAAACATCCTTACAATGTTACCCTTATAGAGCAACAATTGTCTAGCATTTTTTGTCCTTCTGTCTTTATAACTTCCATTCCTCTCGACGATCATGGCTTCAACTGGTAGCTTTTCCTACGGAGGATTCCACACGTCGGACTTAGACATCCCCACTGAAAACGAGTTGTTGCCTATGGAGATGCAGGTCGAAATGGAAAACATGAGAAACGACATCAACCAAAAGCTCATCGAAATAAGGGACCAGATGGCGGTGATACAAAGAAGGTTCAATTTCAGTTTATGGATTTTGATTGTTGGAGTGGGTGTTGTTTTGAGCTGGGTTAATCGATCCTCGAAGTAGTGTGGGTATGTGGTCCACCGGAATCGTTTTGTGGATGTCGTATTTGGTACTAATGTTAGTTGGGTTTCTCTTGATTTCAATGGTAATGATGTTAGTTGGTTTAGTATATGTAATGTTGGTTAATTTAGGTGTTTGTTTGACTTATTTTAAGGGCTTTGTTGGTTTCGTGGGATTACAGTTCTTCAATGGTGTTTCGGGGGTATCGATTACCCGATTACCCCGATTATTGTTCACGAACTAGTTTATTGTACCCAAGACGTGGTTGTAATGTTATTGTTGTTGAATATTAATGAAAAATATTTCTTGTTATATTTACCTGTAATTTTCACACCACTACCACCTGGATCTTGACCCTTCTTTTATTTACCTGTAATTTTCGGGGCCTTTCCACTGCATCACAAGTTGACTTGTTGTGCCTTACCTTATTACAAACACAACACATAATTATTTTTCCTGCCTTTGATACTTTGTGATCCATTAACCTCTGTACTGTTTCTCTTCCTCTTAATAGTGGGTCTTCCTGGCATCTTCCTTTTTAGTGGTGGCAATAGTGTTATATAATCTGTCAGGGGCCACATTTCACTCTTATGCATACTTCTTATGGAGTACTTGTAGGTTTTCATATATATGGTTGCACGATATAAAGGATCCACAAAGGCCTCTACATTCTTGTTTACATAAGAAATGTCTGCTACTAAATGAACATAGCCATACCTATTTAGCTGCCATACCCTACAAGTACATGTTTTCTTATCTAATTCAACACCATATGACTCTTCTAAGTTTCTTGTCTCAAAGGTATTTAATCCACTAGGCAGCACTTGTCAACACCTATAAATAAACACAATTAGTATGACAACAACAATGGTAGAAAATGAGTGAGTGACAAAAAAGAACAAACCTTTGTTGGATCTTCGATTTATTTATGGCAAGCCTTATCTTTGGACATACATCTAAGACTCCCCATCCATTCCCTTTCATTCTCAAATACACATCATCTGCATCACATACAACCTTATATCCTCCAACATAATAATAATGGGTTCTTCCTTGCATCCAAGAGAACATTGTTAAAGTTTTCAGACAAGCCATTCTCAACAACATCACACCCCAATCCTGGCTGAAATAACGCTCTGGACCATGAATTTGGATTCATTCCAATAAGATGCACATATACAGTAGGGCTAAACATTTGAATCTCTTTCATTGTTGTATTGAAAAGAGATTCAGTTAACGCCTTACTTGCCTTCCAAACATTGTCTCATATTGATCACTAGGAATTTTCTTGTTGAAGTTGGACAGAACATGCACAACACATTGCCTATGTTCTATGTCTAGGAATAAATTCTCCACTGCTTCAATTAACCCATGTATTTACATCATAAGGATAGTTAGAACATGATCATAATTGGAACACCTAAAGCATAATGAACACAACCATACCTTGTGTTGATATGACATCAAATTTTTAGCATACCTAGATTCAAGATGCAGATCTTCTATTAGATTTTCTAGAAACCATTTCTAATTGTATTTATTTTCCACACATGCCACAACCTAAGCTATTGGGTAGATATGATTGTTTCCATATCCCCCATCAACACATAATAACTCACCACTACACATTAATTTTAAAAAAACACCCATCCAAGTTTATAATCCCTCTACATCCACTTCTCCAACCCTGCTTTAGTGCACCAAAACACACACACACACACACACACACACATATATATATATATATATATATATATATATATATATATATATATATATATATATATATATATATATATATATCTTGCTAAAGTAGGTTTTCCCATCTGGTATAGAGTTAACAGACAACTTGACTATTAACCCTGGATTAGACCTTCTTATCTCCTCACCATAGGGCCACAACTTTGCATAATTTTCCACTATGATACCTTCCACAAGAGACATGGCATGTTGCTTAGCTCTCGTACACTGTCCCATACTAACTTCTATGCCAAATTTAGTTTTTACTTCCTCTTTTAGCATCCTAACATTGAGTTTCTCATTCTCAAGAACTTCCCTGGTGAAATGAATACAAATCCATCTATATAGAAGAAAAATTATCCACTACTGACGGGAAGAATTTAAGCCACTACAATTTCTACAAAATGCCAACTCTTTACAAGTGTATGAAGCATTTCAACTAGGATTGGTAAAAACCATCTATCCTAGTCAAAACCTGCAAGAAATAAAGCTTTTTTCTAAAATCTTTACAAAAGCAATAAAAACTTTCAGAACAAGATGCTGCAAAAAGGATCAAGACATTTTTCTAAAATTCAACAATAGCATCCCATACTGGAATGATAAGGATGAAATAAAATATCATCCTCATCATTTAGTACAGATAGGAATCTGCAAGCAAGAAACCTATCTGCCCAGCAAAGCCATGGAAGAAAAGCTTGAAAGAGCCGATATCCTCCAGCTAGCAAAATCTAGAATTGAAATCTTTATCAATAAGATTTTCAGTTTTTTCAGCGGATGACAAGATCTTCGTCAATGGATATGATGCCAATGAGAAGACCTTAATCTACAGCAAATACAACAAAGAGATTTCTCTGGCTGATGAACAACTGTTCTTAGCCTTCCAAAACTCTTTGCTAAATCCAGACTTAATCGGCAAACACGTGGCAGACATCTGTAAGACACTCCACAAAAGCACTAATAGATACAACTGTCAATGCTTAACCATCAAGGTGGCCTCCACTACCGAAAATAATAATGGCAAAACTATTATTAAAGAAGATTCCTCGACAAACACCAAATAAGAGAGGACCCTCAAAGATAAGCCACTACACAATAATGTAGTTAGTGGATGATTTGGTCAGCAGTAACATAAAACACTTGTATCAGATCCTCTCTATGATTCTATAAATAGAGAGTTATGCTTTCATTTGTAGGCAGAGTGAAAATACGAGAGCCTTAAGCATTCTATTGAAATCTGCAAATGTGTGAGTAAAACCCCATATAGGGTTTATAGTTTTAAATTGTAAAAACCTTCGGGTTTTAGTTCGTTTATAAATAAGAGAAATTTTCTTAATCCATCTTTCGTGCAAATATCTGTATTTCTATAGTCTGAAGTCTTATTTGTCATATGATCTAGTACTAACAAGTACCGCTAGTCAGAAGGACATAGGTAAAAAGGAAAGATCGACACCAAGATTGACGAAGAAGTCATAGAGCCTCAAGCACGAGCAAGGTATGAAAACTATCTTTTAAATTTATAACAAAACTATCTCCTTAAAGTTTTTCAATTTAAAAAACTATAAACTCTATAATTAATTATCTTTTATAAAAAAAATCTTATAACAACTCAAATGAGTAGTAATAAAGTACTAGCTAATCAAGAACCTAATAAGTTCTTGATTTCTCAAATAAAAGATTGCATAATTTCTATTAAACAACATCAAAGAAATTTAAATTATATTAATAATGAGATTTCTTTTATAGATTTAACGTTACAAACGTCTATACGAGATGATTTTAGAAGGCAAATAAATGCTAAAAGTAACAGATTTGCACACATTCGTGTACAAAATTCAATAAAAAAGAGTCTTTTATCTAACAAAAGATATTTAACTGAGTTAAAAGATAAGATTTTAACTTAACTTTATCCGCAACCAATTCCTAGTATCAGAGCCTTGTTATGGATTTATCCTTAAAAAATAAAGGTAGAGAAGAAGATTTTGAAGAACAAACTTCAGATCATACATTAAGCTTCGTTGAAAATGGAGAAGGTTTTCAAGGAAGCCTAATGATTAAACAAGAACTTCTTTCAAAAATTAACAAAACAGATCTTAAAATAAAGAAAGAAAATATATTCAGAAACGTTCCCTCAAGATTTAATATTTTGAATACGTTAAAAAGAGAAAACGAAATATTTTACTTCGTTAGTACAAAAGAAATGTCCGTCGACATAAAAGATACTACATGATTTGTTTATCTACCACTATTAACCAAAGAACAGATAAACAGTAACCTAAAAAATATTCTCATAGAAATAAGATCTAAAATTAGAATGCAAGCCTAGATATGTTTTTATTCGGTAATGATGTCATTCATACTGCACCATTTGTTTGTGACTTATTTATTGCTATATGCATGATTCTCTTTGCGTATGTTGTTAACTTTTGAATTTGTAGATCCAGAAAAACGAACACTTCTTGATTGGGATACTAGCTACAAAATCGTAGAAGGTATTGCACGAGGACTACAATACCTTCATGAAGACTCAAGACTTAGAATCATCCATCGTGATCTCAAAGCTAGTAATGTTTTGTTAGATGATGAAATGAACCCCAAAATCACAGACTTTGGCATGGCAAGGTCGTTTCACACTAATGTAACTCATGGCGACATAAGAGGCATTGTTGAACCTAGTAAGTAAACCACATTTGAGACACAATTCATATAATCCTATTGCATGGCTCATTAACTGTACATTAGGGTTCTAAAGACACATTTTGTGTACAAATAGTATTTTAAAATATTCTCAATGCTTGTAGTCCTATTGATCATCGATCGCTAACTTTTATTCACATAACACAATTTTGCAGTGGTTACATGGCACCGGAATATGTGATGCATGGTCAATTCTCGGTTAAGGTAGATGTCTTTAGTTTTGGAGTCCTAGTATTAGAAATAATAAGAGGCCAAAAGAACCAAAGTTTCCAACATGAGGATAGTATCTCCTTTCTCAGCTATGTAAGTACATTGTTTTTAACATTTAAGTTAATTGTGGTATTTCACCATTTGACATGACATCTAAGAATATACATCGATTGTTTTTAGGCATGGAGATGTTGGCAAGATGGAACACCATCATATATAATAGATCCCATATTGTTGAATGGATCATGTTCTTTAGATGACATATTCAGAACCATTCACATTGCCTTATTATGTGTTCAAAATAATGCACTAGACAGGCCAACGATGTCTTCGTTTGTTCTTATGCTCAGTAGCTTTTCCATCACCCTCCAAGTACCATCAGAGCCAGGCTTTTACATGCAAAATATTGTTAGCAATCAATTTTCTAGAAATGATGCATCACTTTCTGAGTTTAGTCCACGATAGTTTTTGAAAATGCTTATTGAAATGTAAACAAAAATGGCGAATTATACTTCATCTCAAGTTTTTATGATAATTAACGTCTATGCTTTAAAGTTATGAACATTATCTCTTCAAAATATAAATTTGAGTATATTACTGAGATGAGCCCTGATTGTTAATGTTGGACACTTGTATTATTATAGTAACCGATAACTTTACACTAACGTAAGGTCACATATACATATAGTACGACACATGTGCTTTATAGAAAAAGGCCTAAAACATGAGAATAATTTACATCTTTGTGATATATATATATATATATATATATATATATACACTAGGTACGTTTTAAGGGTCGTGCTAAACATGGCCTGCGAAGGGTAATTTAGGTATTTCCAACATCATTGTTTGAATGTTTGAAGAAATGTAAGTATATTGCTATTATGGGTAAGAAGTTATAAGTACGGTTATCAGTAAAGCACCAAGTGTGCTGCTATTATTGGCAACAGAATTAAAGTATATTGTTATTATGGGTAAGGAAATGCAATTGCATAATAGTTGTGCATAAAAACTAACCTAATAAGAAAGAAAATGAAAGTACAATGCTATAATTTGGTAGAAGTCTTATGGTGGAATGTCTTGTATGTGAAAAGGATTAAAAATACAATATTATAACATGATAGATTTTTCAAAGTGCAATATCCTAATGAGAAAATTATAAAACTTTGTAAGGTTGTTTACTAATCCGAAGAAGAAAAAAGAAAGGAAAGAACTAAAATCCATACATTTACACATTTTAGATCAACAACCAAATCTGATATTATACTTTTTGCAACAACCACAACCTTAAAGCATTTATGATGGTCCAATATTCCTTTCCACCTTTCAATCTTGTCTCTTGAGTTTCTCTTTACTTTTGTACTAGGTTACACCTGTAGAAACCACAGGTAAATTATTTATAAAATTTTATTAAAGTAATAAGATATAAGTTTTGTTTAGACTTTTAAATTTTTATTTAAATTATCCGATATATAAGTTTAATAGCAACCTACTTTCCCTTAAAACAATAATAGCAATATATTTTTTTTTGTTTTTAAAATGTAGAAAATTAAAAAGATAATATGGCAGAAATGTGACTTTTGTAAAGTAGTGTTTGGAGTGGGGCTAAATTATCAAAATTTGTTATAATATTTGTATTTTATTATAACACAGGCGCACATGAAAAATTGTACTTTCAGTTTGATGTGTAATATAATATCATACATTTTTATAATATTCGCACAAAAAGAAAGATAATTTGGCAAAAAAAATATTTCTGAAAGTACAATGTCATTTGTTGCATACTTTTGAAGTTTTTTATATTTTTTTTTTCATTTTTCTATAAGAGATGTAGAAGTTTAGGGGCAAATCAGTCACACACAGCAAAATAGTATACCTTCTTATGGAAAAATATTTAAAAATCGAATTTTTATAAAGTAAAATGACATATTATGCATATTTTCTAAAGCTTCATTGATTAATTTAATTTTTCTATGTAAAATGCAAAAAAAAAGGATAATATGATAGAAATGTGACTCATTATTGTTTTTTGAGTAGGAACAAAATAGTGAAATCCACTGTAACGTAATAAACATACATAAATATAAATCTGTTTGATATTGGTATTTGTTTTCATAAAAAAAATATTATTTTTATAAAATAGTAAATACTATTTAAAATTATTTTTATAAAAAAAATAATAAATTGGAAATATATAATACACATTTCTTAATTAAACATAAATGTATCATTTATTAAGAATAACATATAATGGACATGTAATATATTATCCTATCAATCCAATTCCATTGAAAAAAGTGGAACTTACTACTATTTTTGGGAAATAAGCATCGGTGGCAGTAAAGCACCCAACAAATTCATTAAAACATGTCCAGGTCTAAGTCCATCCGTATGAAAACCAAAATGGTAATGAACTTTATAAACGGTCAAAATGGTAATGTAAATTTAGAGATGATTAAAATGGTCATTCTAAGATGCTCTTTCGTAAATGGCAAGTCATTTTAAATGGTTAGATAAAGTCCATCACAAAACCGAACACAAAATATGATTAGACTAACTTAACAAATGTAATTCCTGTTAAGAAGAGCACCACTAAATAGCATGACTTATTGAATAGAATATAGCTAAGAGAATATCTATACATGAACTGGAAGTAAAACTCGATGACAACTTATACTTGGTAAGAGAACTGCTAGTATTGAATTTATGTTTGAAAAGCCAAATAGATTGGACCATGTTAACACTCGTGGGTTGGGAACAAGGGCTTATGTACTATTCTTAATAAGAGAAATAAACTTATCATGCACATCATCTTTCCAATTTAGATAATTGGACGCTTGAGTATGAGACTTCGGAATCAAGGAAACGAAGGTTTGCGTGAAGATTTAACTGGTGAACCAGTTTGATCGTTCTGATATGGGTCTATGTAGTTGTCGGATGAGACGGTGAGGGGATTTTAAAGGTTGCAAGGTGGGAGCCGGATGAGTGAGGACCCTTCTGGTTGGCAGCAGAGGAGCAGATATGTTGGTTGGAAGGGTGAGACTACCGAGATGTTCAATTTTAGCCGTTAGAAAGGTAGTCGGAATTTTTGTATGGTTTGGAGGCAATGACGTGGACGTGGTGGTGATGTTGGTTGTTAATATATTGAAAAGTAAAAAAGCGAGAGTCGATGGAGTTCAGCTTCATGTTGGAGTTAAGGAACTCATATGATGGAGGTTGGTTTAATACTCATGGAGGCGAATGTCAAACACAAGTTCGTCAAATGTTACGTAGCGAGAAATAATAATTTTTTAGAATGCATATCGAGGCATCGGAATTCCCGATGGTTGTCAGGATATTTAAGAAATATGAATATAATGGATCAAGGATTAATATGTGTGGTAGGTGGGGATGTGGATAACAAAAGCACCTGAAGATGCCAAGGTTGGTGAATGATAATTGTTTTTGGAATAGCGTGAAGTAGGGATGTTTATTGCCAGTAGAGTTTGATAGTAAGAGAAAGAGATGTAATAAGTGTATTGCCATGAAAATGGTCGCTACTTGATAAGTTGGTGGGTGATGGGATTAAAACTTAGTGTGTTATAAGCATACGTTCTGATCTACCATTAATTGGAAAGTTTTTTAAACATGAAAAACACACAAATATATATATATATATATATATATATATAATATATATATATATATATATATATGGTTAGGATTAAATGTAAATCACAAATATTGTATGATTGTATGACAAAATTTGGACCATTAGATTAGTATTGTGAATGACTAAGATTTTATGGTATACAATAGTTACAATGGAATACAATACACATACACATTTCTTTTATTAACTAATCTAATTAAATAAAAGGTTAATAAGGGTATAATGGACAATTTGATTAATACACATTAAACTTGAGAAAATTTAGGACTCAACATTTATGAGTATTCCAAAAACACATATCAGTTACCAATAATAAACCAAAGTCTCAATCAAAACTATGTAAACCTTTTTATACGAAGAATATGAATTTGAAGATTTGAAGAAATTCTTTGAATGTATGAAATTCTTTGAGAATTTATTACATTTTTTTTTTAAATCACATACATTCTTTTGTAACAGTTGATTTGAAAAATAATAGTTACAAACATACAGGTAAAACATGGTTTACATTTTGGTTAAAAATTACAAGATAACCAACTATATGGAAAACCTTTAATCACAATTCTTTGAAAATGGTTGTTAATTGCAAGAATTTATCTGAAAGAATGTTCTTATGATAATCAAATATGTAATAAATATAATTGTAGCACATTCTTGAAGAATCATAATTACTTTTTAGAGAATCATAATTCATTTTTAGAGAATCAACATGAATTACTAGTGTATACCTGACATTCTTTAAGAATAAAACATGAATTACAAGTGTACAACTAACATGTCTTGAAGAATAAGACACGAATTACAAACACATATCTGACATTCTTTAAGAACAGTTTCACATTCTTTAAAAAATAAAAGACATTCTTTAAGAATGATACATTCTCTAAGAATAATACATCAAAATAAAAGAAGAATGTAAATTACAAGTACAAAATCTGACTAACTACAAATCAAACTTGTGTTGATTACAAGTACAAAATTCAACAATCTATAACTTCCGTCTAAAAGAGTAAACTCGATATGAGAACAAATGAAAATCAAACTTGTGAAACCATTAAAAACGATTATATGATTTACAATTTGTAATCACGAAACCAATGGAAATTACGTATATAATTCGCAACAATTGTGTAAAAAATCACTGATTTTTGGCATACAGGGATAGTGATCACGGTTAATCAAGGTGTGACTAGATCTTTTCTTTTTTTGTCAATCAATCTGTGTGGTTGTTCTTGTAGATGTTGCAGAAGATGATGATGTCGACTTCCATGTTGATTCTTTATATCACAAACTACATAAATAAAATCAATTAAGTCATGATTAACAAATAATCGTACTGGAAAACATAATACATAAAAGTCGATGATTCTTATTATACAAACATATATTCAAGCCAATGATTCTTATTATGCAAGAATGTAAATATTTATATCATAAGATACAAAAAAAATGAGAGCAAAAAGAAAAATCAAATAAGAACCATGGTTATATACATGAAAACCATGGTTTGAGCACGCAGCAAAACAACCATAATATTGATCACAAGAGAGTGATTGTAAATATAATTCACTTTCATTAATCTATGAATTTCAATTGTCATAGATATAAGCAACAAACCCTACAAAATTAAACTATAAATATTTTAAAAAACTCTCATACAACATTATATAGGACCAAATCAGGCTCCAGGATAAGATTTTAGTCTTTATGCGTTGTTTTCTTGATAACTTTTGAAATCATGCTTCTTGCAATAAACCATGTTCATAAATTCTTTCGAAATACCATATTGACAGAGTGTAATTGGAATTCA